TGTTTTAGGACAAACACAGCCGAGTCCATCAATAACTATTTGCTGCACGATTTGTTCATTTGTGTGGCTTAGTTTCATTGTCGTATTTGATATTTGTTGCACAATTTAATTTCAAATCGAACAAATGTTGCAATCTTCAATCAATTACCATTGCAGACAGACAATAAAACGGCAGTCGAAGTCGCCATCGCATTGACAGGATATGCCTATGAATTTCTTATGGCTACCTGAAGCACTTTACTTATTTCTGGCATCATCGACAAGGACACAACGGAAATGCCAATAGCTGCAATGTGTGTGTGTGTGTATGTGTGTGTGTGTGCCGACCGAGTCCCTGCTCGGGCGCAGCGCTTGTTAGTGTGTGTCCGAATGCTGCCCGGCAGGACGGGACAGGCGCAACTGGCCAGCGGCAAGGCGCATTCAATCAGTGTTATTGCAGCCTGTCCAAATCCCTGGCGGCCACAAGTTTCATAGCTCGCAACGATTTGCCATTCAAGTGGCGAACAGGCAGCAGCAAGCCTTCAGCTCCTCCGTCGTCGTCATCGTCGTAAACGTCGTCAAAAGCAGAGCGGAAATTTATGACAGCGTTCGCATTCAACTGCAATTTGGCTTGTCTGTCTGCCATTTGGCATTGTGTGTGTGTGTGTACGTGTGTGTATGTGTCGGGCTGGTTGTGAAAATGATGTAATCATATTGCACATGGCAGCAGTTGCTGCTGTTGCAGTTGCAGTTGCCACTGCTGTGCGTTTTGCCTGCTTACAAAATAATTGATTTTGTGTGCACATCCTTGACACAAATAAACACTCACAACACTGGTTCGCACACACACACACACTCACACGAAGACACACGCACACACACACACACACAGACAAGTTTAACTGGAAGCTCTATAAAATTTGAATTAAATACAACAAAGCATTGGTTTTTAATTGAATTTGAAAGGGCTGCCCCTTTGACGAATGCAATATATATTTTGCAACTGTTGAATTGAGTTTGAGTTTGAGTCGAATCGAATCGAATAGAAAATATCGGCCACAATTTCTATAAAATGAGGCACTTGGACAAAGCTTCGATTTGTTTGCCAATAGCCACTTGCTGGAAACTCTAGCTGCAGGGTCCCTGCCCCCGTTTGGCTTCGCTGCGTTGTTATAAATGTTTGCACTCGACTATGCAACGTGCAAGAGGCAAAAAAAAGAAGGCATATATATATGTATATATGTGTATAGAGGCTAAAGCAAAAAGGCCACGCAGAATTGTGCAGTCGGAGACGTAGACGTTCGCCTGAAACTGAGGCGCACTTGACAGGCACTCATGACATGCGCCGAGTGCATGCATATGCAGCAGGAGCTGGCAGCATAAACCATGTGCACAATAACCCACCTAGCACTTGACAACAGGCAATGGCAAGAGCAGGGAGCAGGGGCCAGGTCTTTGGGTTGGCAGCATCAACACATCAACAGGCCGCGAGCTTGTAGCTGAAGCTGTTGCCGATGTTGCCAAAGCCTCGCATTCGCACTCGCACTCGATGAGAACGAGGCCTCATCACAAATTCCGTACTCGCACTTGTATTCCCAATGAGCTGACAGCTGGCATTTGTACGTCTGTCTGACGGTCTGTCTGTCAATATATAGGCAGCCATAAAAAAAGAGCAAGTCTTGCGTGCAGATGGGCGCACATAGTTTGGACCAAGAGAATGTTAACTTATTTACAGCGCAGCGCTGTTTATGGCTAATTGAAACTGGGCTTTGCTTTGCTTAACATTTTTCGCCTGCTGCCAAGCTGTCAAGTTTAATTGGCTGCCAGCTGCACAAAAGGCGCCAGTCCCTGCTCGGGCGCCAGTTCCTGCTCGGGCGCCCGCACTTTTGGCTGCAACAGCCGATGACTCGGCAAAAGGATTGAAAACTTTGTTGCGTCCGTCAATGTCAGCGGCAGCGTAGCAAGAGTCTCGCCTGGCACATTTGGTATTTTAATTAAAGTTGCCGCAATTTGTTGCACAAATACGAATATGAATATGACAGCCACAGCATGCATAAATGCAAGCCAAGCCCTTTGAGACACTCGGAGTGCCAGTGTTTCATCTATGTAAATAGGTATTTACGAGGGCTGTTCAATCGGTAAACAAGCTAGAATTTATTTCTAATTGTGCCCGTTCACTGTTACGAGCAGTTTAAAAAGTGCTGGCGCCCAACATGGGGCACGGTTAAGCTTTTGAGACACTCCTAAGGACCGTGCCAGTGAGTCGGCTATGTATAAAGGTATTTACGAGGGCCGTTCAATAGGTAAACAAACTAAAATTTATTTCTAATTGTGCCCGACTAGTGTACGAGCACCTTTATAAGTGCTGGCTCCCAACGTGGCATACTGTTAAATCGACATTAAATGATATGCTGCGTGTTTGTCTTTCAATTTATCAAACAGCACTCAGCTGACACGCTTTGGCACAACGGGGCAACAGTTCAGCACATTTAAATGGTTTGATTGACTTGATTATTTAATTGCCGCTGGCCGCAAATAAACAACAGGAACAGCATATAGATTCAACAGAGGGCAGAGCAGAGCTGCAAAGCATTTCCCTGGACGTGGCCAATTGATTGAAAATCAATAGCTGCGCGTGTGTCTCTGAAATGGAATTGAAGAGCAAGTAAAAGCAAACTAATTGGCATTAAAAGTCATTGTCTGTTCCGACTCTGTCTGTCTGTCTGACTATTTGTCGAAACTACTATTGAGGCAGCATTTTAATTGTTTTTTTTAATAAATATATATATATATATATTTTTTTTTTTTTAGTTTTTTCCTCTGTTTTTTTGTTGACCAAAATGTGGCCAATGGCCAAAACGCCGCTTGCGGCAATGCAATCGCAATCAAAAGGCCATTGAGAAATGCCGCGAAATTGAATTAAATTTGCATAGGAAAACAGGCAAAACGATAAATGCGAAGACGACGACGACAACTCTGGCGGCTGTTAATAAATATTAAAATTTGAATTATACTCGGCAAACCAATGAGAATTTTATGCGCACTGATAAAAATAAATAAAAAGGCAGCCATTTTGTGGTAGTAGAGGGCGCAGTTGGGCGGCGTTGGGCTCGTCTGGGCTGTAGGTGTGGTCGCACATTTTGGCAACATTTCAAAAGCCGGCCTGTGATTTCAAGAGTGCGCACACAAAGCCAAGAGCACAAAAAAACACACCCACACACACACACACACAAAATATATAAGAAAAAATATCAGAAAAAAAAATAAAATTGTAATGAAAATGCAAAAAGTGACGACGAATTGAAAGTTTTGCTCGTTTTCTTTGGTATGTTTTTTATGCTCTCGCTCTGCTGGCACAATTACCAAAGCCATTTTCGTTGATTTGTAACACGTTGCAGGCTGATGATGATGATGATGATGATCATCATCATGATGTTGTTGATGGGGCAATGATGACGTGCAACTTGGAAAGTAGAACTTGAGTGGCCCCAAGATGTGGCGCAATTGTCACACAAACACTTTGCATGCACAATCAGAGCCGCGGCACAGTGAAACGAACGAAAAGAAAGAATGAAACCCTCTTCCACCTCCCCCTGCCCCTGCCCAACCTCTTACGATTGAGTGGCAGCCCTTAGTGCCCAAATTCCCCCATGCCCCCAAGACCTCAACTTGAGAAACACTAGTAATAAAAGTATATGGAAATTTGTCGCTTGACGATTTCGCGTTCAAGCCAATTGGCAGCTGCTGAAGCAGCTGCTCCCATTCAATATGCAGTTTAATATTTAAGCAGAAAATAGTTAAAATTCGCAATTGCGCACATTTGCGAATTCCGAAGGGCAACGCATCTGGCACAAATTAATTTATACAGTTTTTTCTACTGACAATTAGAATACACTAGACAAAAAGCGGCAAATGTCGAAATACACTAACAATTCGCACATGTGGAATAAAGGTGGATTTAGATTTACAACTGCTGACAAAAGCTAACTGCTACATATTTTAACAAGTTGGCAACGGCAAACAAGAGTGAATTAAAAGGCAGCTGGCAACACTGTTTTGCAATTAGTTAACAATGCAATAGGGGCTTTGCAAGTCGTGGAAGAAGCACTCTATTCCATCGATTTGTATTTTTATTGGCATACGTATTTGTCATGGCATTTGTATGCATTTAATCTGCGTATTGTTGCATTGCCAGCGACTACAATAGATGCTGAAAACAGCAGGAGGCGCCCTATAAATCAAAATGTAGAGAAAAATGCACATTGGCCCCTATCAAGCCGACACACTTAATACACTTTTTAGTTCGACGATAATTGAGATAACCAAACTAATAAAAAGCCGACGAAGGAGATTTTAGAGATCTCTATGACAACATAAGCTCAGCTTTTCGGCATTTTAAATGAAATTTAGATATGAGATATACATAAATATAGTCAAATCCAGGACCTGTTTTTTTGTTACTTTCATCTTGACCAAGTCTTTCGACATCTACCGCACTCAAGAGTAACAGAAAACAAATAATACGTCTTGGCTATTGTCATGTGCTTCTAAAGCAGTATCTTTTTCATGGCGTCCGTATCATCCGCGTGACCTCTAGCCGCTGACTGAGTTGCCTCGTCACATAACAATAATTATGTACATGTGGCCAATATGAAATGGAGCTGCATTTGTTCAGTGTGTGGCAAGCCACGTGCAAGGCCGCCCCCGCAGCGAATTCAATAAGATATAACACATATATAATTGTGCATTCGACTGATGTCAGCAATGTCACAAACAATATCCATATCCAATATCAATGCATGACATACACTGCGCCAAAAATAGCTGGCACAAATGGAAAAAATGAGAAATGCGCAGCCGTTGACAGGTCCTGGTAGACGTTTCTCATGTTGCTCACGTTTTTGCGACGCACATTTTCACAAGGAATTTTCCTTCTTATGGTCAGAAAAGTGATTAATCCTAGTTCAAACGGAATAATATTCGTATTCCCATTCTCTGGCAAGGAATTCACAGCGACTCACCTGCAAATCGGTGCCTGTTGTGCCCGGCTGTGCCAGATCACAAGCTGATATCCAAGGATTAAGGCGTGTTAGAGCTGCCGCACTGCCGAGTATGGACTTCTTGGTATCCACGGGCGTCGGCAATTTGATGCCGGCTGTTGCAGCCGCAGACTCAGTTGCTCCGCTCGTTCTTGTTTTTGTTGTTGTTGTTGTTGCAGCAGCAACAGCGACCGACGAGGTGCCGCCGTCCCTCTGGGCAATTGCGATTAGATGCGACGCATAGGCGTCGTTAGCACGGATCTCCTCCTGCTCCGGCTGCGGCTTCTGCTCCTCACCCGTTTCGCGCTTGTTGTTGCTGCTGTTGTCTTTCTCGTTCCCGTTCCCGTTCCCTTTCCCGTTCCCTTTCCCGTTCTCGTTTCCGTGCTCGTGGCCGTGCTCGTTTCCGTTCTCGTTGTGTTGCGCATGCAGCACGCTTTCATCGACCAGTCGACTCTCGTCCTGCTGCTCTGGTTCGGGCTCCTGTTCCCGTTCCTGCTCCCTCTGTTGCTGGCTCTGCGCTAGATTATAGTCTTCCTCCTCGGCGGCTGCGTTGTCGGCGTCCTCGCTCAGCTTTATCAGCCGATCGAACGATTCCTCAGACAAAAGATCGTCCTCGGCGACCAGCGCAAAGATGTCCTCGTCCGCGACGGCGTCCCCGTCCGCGTCCGCGTCGTCGTCAAAGGCGCGCGAAGAGGCGTACTGCACGGGCAGCCCGCTGATATCCTCCTCCTGCTCGGCTACCGTCTCCCCGTTCTCCGCGTCGTTCTCGCCGATGAGCGTCGCCTCGCTGGACTCGGGCGCCCCCGCCGCCGATTCGGTGCCCGCCTCGAGACTGCGAGCACGTCGCAGCGGTTCGTCTGGTGCGTGCAACGCCGGCCGCCGATAGAAATCAAAGTTGAGCGGAAAATTTTGGGCGGGGGCGTCGTTACCAGGGCTACCGTCATGCAATATTGGCAACAGAAACGAGAATCCGCCGCCACCAGCTCCAAGAATTGACGACTCTCTGCCGCTCTGCCGGCCCGAGTCGTAGCTGGACGGTAAATGTGCTGTTGTTGTTGTTATTGCTGGTGTTGTTGTTGTTGTTGTTGTTGTTGTTGTTGTTGTGGTTATCGAGCTGCTGCTGCCGCCGCTGCTGCTGATGGTGTTTGTGGTGCTGGCACGCCGAGCCCCCGAAATAAACGCAAGCGCCATCACGACCAGCCCGGGTCCTGGCCGCATATTGACCTCGGGTTCGGCGGTGCTAGCATGGTGCAGGCCCGCTTGAGACGCGCTTGCGACTCCAATTCAATGCGATAAATGATGGGCTCATGGCCCCATCATCATCATTAATATGTCTGTGTCGTTTCGATCTTTGCCTGCTGCTGCTGCCGCTGCTGCTGCTGCTGCTGCTGCTGCGTCTCCTTCTGCTGCGCCTTGAAGGCGGCTCCAAGCGTTACCGTTTCCGTATCCTGGCAACTGCTCGGCTCGTCTCTGCGCTCTGCGGCTAGCGGCATGAATCACGTGCTTCGACCAGTCCAAATGGCTACCTATCAATGGCAATGGCAATGGCAATGGCAATGGCGTTGCCAGACCGTCAATTAACAAGCACTTTTCGTTGATGTCGCAGATCGGCGCAGCGACTCATGGCAGAGGCGCACAAGCTTGCTTGCAGTGTATGGAGGGGCCGTAACGCTAACCGATAATATCGAGTTAAAGTAAACTGGGGAATTAACAGAAACTCAAATGCAAACGCAACGCAAACAAAAGTCACGACTGTGGCCGATAAACGATTTATTTGCCACTGATTTCGATAGCACAGCACATTTGAACATTTAACAACACTTTCTTTTACTTTTATACTTTTTGATTTATTTTTAGCTGTTGTTGGGACCGTCGCATTGATGTTGCTGCTGTAACTATTTGCCTCTTGTTGTTGTAGTAGTTGTTGTTGTTGTTGTTATTGTTGCTGCTGCTGCTGCTGTTGTTGTTGTTGTTGTTATTGTTGTTGTTATTGCGACACTGCTGCACATTAACCTTGAAATTTAAATTGAAATTCGTGTGTCGTGTGTGTTTTTTCTTGTTTTGCTGCTGCTGCTGCTGTTGTTGTTGTTGTTGTTGTTGTTGTGGTTGTTGTTGCTGTTGTTGTAGTTGTTGTTGTTGCATTCTTTTTGGACTTACAGCCACACGCGAAGGTCACATAGCAGCAAATCTTATTTTTCTTGTTTGGCTGGACTGTAAGCATTATTTATGATTAGGTTATTATTTGATTAATGAGTTTTTCTACATTTTGTTTTATTTTTTGTAATTTTCGGGCAACAAAAGACTTTAACGCTTGCCGCAGCGCTTTGCGCTTTTCGAAACGGAAATTTCGGTTTTCAGCGCGCTCTCTCGCCGACCTCTCTCTCTCACCCTCTTCCCCACTCTCTCTCTCTCTATCTCTCTCTATCTCTCTCTCTCTCTCTCTTACTGTTTTTCGCTACCGAAACGCCAACGCAACGGTTTATGTATGGCTAGTTGCTTGTTGTGCGCCCACGCTCCAAGCTCAGCTGCGCGCTCTCTTACTATTTTTTGTTTTTTTTTTTTTTTTTTTTTGTGCTGGCAAGCAGCGCTCTGCATTTGATTTGCATTTGAAATGCCGTTACATGCGTTATGCGCTTTGCAAAAATAGAGCTTATAAAACGCAATTTGATGACTGAGATTTATGACAACAACTTTGCATTATGCATTGTCTGCTGATTTGCATTTGTTCACGCGAAGAAGCAATATGTGCGTGTGTGTGTGTGACACAGCATCGAGCTTTAAGCGAGCCAATAAGCGAGAGTGTGAGCGAGAGAGAGCGAGATTGTAGAATGAAAGCAAGCGCCACGACGAGCACATGACGAACACGAAGTGTAACCGAAGCAGCCGCAGCAGCCACCGCACAAAAGAAGAACGCCGAAAAAACGTTCCTAGCACACAAACACAGACGCACAGACACACACACACACGTACACGTATTGAGAGACAGCAGCAGCACACGCACAGGCCAAAGAAATTTATATAATTCGCAGCGGCCGACGCTGCTTGCTGCTGCTGCTGCTGCTGCTGCTGCCGCTGCTGCTTGTTGTTGGTGTTCTTGTTCTTGTTCTTGTTGTTATTGCTGCAAACACAAAACAGCGCTCGTGGGTGGTGTGTAGCAGCAACGTATATGTTTGTATATGTGTGTGAGTGAGTAGTTACTTAGGGCAGCCAGGCAAGCACTCGGCGTGCCTTTTGTAGCAGCATGAAGTAGTCGCCGTCTTCTTTGTCACTGTACGTGCTAGTGTTGGTGGTAACTGTAAGTACGTACGTGTATATATATATATATATACATATGTTTGTGGCAATGTCTGCGTGTGTGTGTGTGTTGGCAGCGCCAAAGACGACAGCGACTGCGGCGCCTGCATGCGGATTTTGCGTGTATGACTGTGTATTGGTGTTAGCTGCGGCTTCTGCTTTTGCTGCTGCTGCTGCTGCTGATTGTCCAACAATAAACGCAGCATACTTTCAGGCGAAGCGTTCTTTTTGTTTAGAGCACGAAGAATTTGTTTTGTTGATTTTTAATGCATGTATTCGTATTTATTTGTTTCGTTCGCTGCGTGTGGGTCACAAAAGACGCTGCGCTTTTCAACAAACAACAACAAAAAAATATGTATATATATGGTTGTTTTTTTTTTATAATAATAATAATCATAAATGGAGTGAGCGGATGAATAGTATGTCATTTGAATGGGCGCTCTGGCCACACTGTGCGTGTGTATTTGTTAACTTTCACTTTTGTTTTATTTGCTGCTGCGTTGACACTGCGCGCTCACACACACACACGCACACGTACACACACGCACACACAAGCACACACATGCATGCCTATGTATATGTGTAGGTATTTTCTCATGCCTTTTTTTTTTTGTGCGTTTATGCGTGTGTGTGTGTGCGTGTGCTACTTCGGGTTTCTGCCGTTTCTGTATGGCGGCTGCTTATATAAGCCCGGAACATGGCACAAAAACTATTCGCCACGAACTTTTCGTTGTAGTTTTTCCTGCAATTTGCCACGGCGTTTTGTTTATGCAACGTGGTCACACTTTGAGGGGTGCCCAGCAGCCAGGGCTATGATTTTCACATATTATATAACATTTGCAATACAAATTTGAAGGCTTCATGTGGCGGCCAGTCGATGTGTCGCTGTATCGATCGCGATCTATCGAAACATTACGCAAACACACATCTACACACACACACAGCAGTACGCACACGTTTACGCAAACGTAAAGCGCTTACGTTACGTATAAAACTAACATAACAAATGCCCAAATACCCGTGCGTACATAATTACAATGTACGCTGTGCGTGCGTGTGTGTGTGTGTGTGATTGTGATTGTGTAGGTATTTCTTCCAAGAGCGCAACATCAACTGCCGTAACGGCCGCGTGGGCGGAGGCTGCGGCAGCAAGGGGCAGGGTAGGCTGCTTGCTTCGCTATTTTGCGGGATGGAGAAGGGATGCAGCGTAGGCAGCGCTGTGAGAGTTACGCTTAGCAGATTTTATAAGTTGAACACCAACAAAAATTGCTAAAATAGCAACGCGTTTTAATTCTGAACAACTCTCGATAACGATATCGATAACTCAATTGGCGTTAGCTCGTTTTTCGATTCTCAACTTTTCACGTTTTCTAGTTGCGTTAGATTTGTTATTATTATTTTGTATAATTTCTTTTCTTTTGCATTTACATTATGTGCTAGGACATTTTATGGGGCTTTTCTTTTTGCTTATTTTTTATTTTTTTTTTTTTTGTATTTTTTGGTTGGTCGCTTTTTCTTTGTATTTTTTTCTTTCTTTCTTTTTTTTTTTTTGTTGGTTCTTTGCTGCTTGCTTCTGTGGACAAACAGTTGCGCGACGACGCAGGATATACCGTTACAATCCTGCTTCTTGCTGATGGCCCCAAACGGCACTGACTGTGCCACAAATTGCAGATGGCGCTTAACTGGAATATGGCCAATGGCCCGAGAGCTGCCTATGGGGGGGCAAACCCGAACAACGGCGCCGTGCTCAGCGCTGACAAGAAACGAACGCGAGAGCGCTGATAACGAAACGCGCTCTCTCTCTCTCTCTCTTTTGCACTTCGTGTACGAATCGTGACAGTTCGAATATAAAGCTTCCAGTGCTGTTAACTAACAGTGACTGCTGCCTTAACTTAACAGCTGTGTGTCAGTGTTTCTGTTTGTGTGCGTGCGTGTGTGTGTGTGTATGTGTGGGTGCGTCGCTCTGTTGAGCTGAAGCAAGAAAAATTACTTGCTGCAGGGCACTTAATCACTAATGACAGCGACGCCAAAGCCAACGTCAGCAGCAGCATCAGCATCAGCATCAGCATCAGCTGCGACTGCGGCAGCGACTGCGGCAGCGACAGCGACAGCGGTGCCTGAACCTCAACTCACTCAAAGTGCGTCTTCCCCCACTTGACTCGAAACGAATCGAATCAACTCGACACTCGACTCGGATTACGTCCTATTCGCAATGGCTGAGACTATGACTTGGCCCTTTGCTGCTGTTGTTGCAGCTTCAGCTGCTGCTGCTGATGCTGGTGCTGATGCTTCTGCTTTTTGTGTGCGCGTTTCGTTACGGCGTTTTGTCTCACTTGGCCTAAATGTCTAATACCCTATAATATCGTTTAATCCCACTCAACGTGCTTTAGTTGTGCTCTGCTGCTTACAAAGAAGGCGCATCCAGTGCAGTTGACAGTTCCAAATGAACCCATTCGATGTGGAGAGACAAATAGAGAGAGAGAGAGAGAGAGAGAGAGAGAGGGAGAGAAGAGCTGCTTTAATTGCAATTGCAAATGCTGTAGCATAACTTTGAGCGCAAGTTCAAGCTGTCAAAGTTGCAAATCACAAACTAACGCCAGTTGCCGCTAACAGCGTACTGGCCTCAAAAGCCAGCCAAGGCCGCCAAGACCTTCAATAGACAAGCAGACAGCTGACTCTGATACCAAACGTGCTTCCTAGCGGCCACTTGAATTATTAACCTTCTGTTAATTAAGCTAAGTAACTGTGCCACAAATCAAAACTGCCAAAACAACAAGTCGCAGTGGCAGCAACGCTGTCAGAATATAGACTATGCAACAAAATCTGATCAAAGTCCCACGTTTGGCCGGACAGGTAGTTTTCTGCCAAAGAATTTAAATTAAAAATGGCAAAAAATTTGCACGCTATTAGCATGATAAATGCCAAAAATCTGCTTAG